GTTTTTCCTTTTTCCCTTTTTTTTTTCACCGTTGATTAAGTGAATGAAAAAAAAAAAAAAAAAAAAAAAAAAAAACTTGAACTTTGAGAAAACACGCCATTCCGTTTTTGAAAGGAAATCGCCAGGAAATTTAACGGGGGGGAGGGGGAGAAACAAGGAAAAAAGGTTTTTACCTTTTTTCTTGTTTCCTTTTTTTTTTTTTAAACTCCTTTTCTTTCTCACATCTCGTTAGTAAATGCTCGAGGATGTTTTTCAATTTTTTTTTTTTTCTTCGTTCATTCACCTATTATTATTATTATTATTATTATCATCATTATTATTATTATCAATTCATTTTAAAATAAATCGTTAACGTCGTTAAAAAAAAAAAAATGAAAAATTTTTTTTTCCCTTTCTTTCTTTTCTTTTCTTTTCATTTTTTTAAATTTTAAATATTTAATTAATTAATAAATAAATTTATTAAATCTATTTATTTATTTTTTTTCCATTCAGAAGACGCCATTTTATTTTTTTTTTTGTCTTATCACGCCTGAACAAATAATAATTAACGTTTACCTCATTTAAAGTTCAGAAAAAAAAAAAAATTAAATTGATTTTAATGATTATTCAGGTCAACGGTTTTATTATAATTATTATTATCATTATCATTATTATTATTGTTCGTTTATTTATTAATAAGTTTTTATTTAATGCCAATAATAAATAATTATTAATTAACTTTTTCCTTCCCCCCAAGTTTTTCGTTTTTTTTTTTTATTCGATAAATATTATAATAAGGTCGATGAAATTTATTAAATTACGTCATTTACTACTTAAAGTTAAATAAATAAATAAAAAAAAACAAAAACGGATGTGACGTCAATAAAAAGAGGAAGGGGGGAAAAATTTTAACTATTTCCCGTTCGCGTAGAACGAGAGAGAGGGGAGGGTAGAGAGAGAGGGGAAAAAAATGAAATGAAAAATTTGAAATATTTTTAGTTGTAACGTTACGTTATTGTGATGAAAAGGCTTTGAAGAAAAGGAGAGAGAGAGAAAGACGTAGGGAGAGAGAGAGAGAGAGAGAGAGAAGGAATGTGGGGAGAAAATTATATAAAAATTAACTGCTTCTGTTTTAATTTACGTAAGTGTAACATAATTACGATTTTATTATGAAAATTTTCCACGTTTTTCACAAAAATTCCAAATATTTTTTAAAAAATTTTCTAGAGAGAGAGAAAGAGGGGAGGAAGTTGGAGCAGTGAAGGAAGGGTGGTGAGGAAAGGGAAAGAAAAAACGAATCACGTTTAAATATTTTTTTTTTTGTTTGCGTTCGATTTCATTTTTCGTCTGCTAAAAAAAAATTTTTTTTTTTCTTCTCCAGAAATAAAAAAAAAAGAAAAAAAAATTTTCCAGCCGTTTTTTTATTTAGAAATTCTCATTTTTTAATTTTTTACACGTTAACATACTAGCAGAAGAAATTTTTTTTTGCTTCCTTCTCCTCCCTCCTCCTCTCCTCCCCACTTAAAGATTGTTTTTAAAGAAAAAATTTTTTTTTTTTTTATTTTTTGCTTCGAAAAGTTCGAATGTTTTTTTTCCTTCTTCCAAAAAAAAAACTCGACTCCCCACCCACACGCCCGGCCCCTCTCCTCCCCGTCTATATTTTATTTCTCTGGAAAATTTTTTTCATTCGAACCTTTTTTTTTTTATATTTCAACATTCCAGCATTTGTTTGACGTTTTCTCTTTTTTTCTCTTTCACGATTTTTCTTTTTCACCTCTTTTTTATTTTTTCCAATCACTTTTTTTCTCTCTCTCTTTTTCCCTCCTTTCTCTCTCTCTCTCTCTTTTTTTTTTTGATTCGTTGTCATCGTAATGACACCAAACGATGAATTATTACTCTTTTGTCAACCGCGATAAATTTTATTTCCAGGTCTCTCATGTTAAAAAGGGCATTAAATATAAATTGATAAACCAATAAAAAAAAAAAAAAACGTGATATTATATTCTGGTTAACTCACATTTAATCCACGTTTAACAACAACAAACGACAAAAACAAACAACAAACAACAACAGCAAAAAAAAAATTATTTTCTCGTTAACCGAAAAAACAAATTGTTACGTCATTAATAACAATAATAATAATAATCATTTATAAAAAACGCTTCGGTTTCGGTTAAATTTTATTATTATTATTATAAATGCATGTTTTCGGTTTTTTTTCTTTCTTTAATGTTTTTTTCATGAGAATTGTTATTCGGCCATTTTTATTACGTATTTTTATTTATAACGATTTATCGAATGAATCGATTATCGAATCGAATCGAACTCGAATATAAAAGAAAATTTTTGTTTTTTCGGAAAATTCGTTTTTAAATTTCGCGACGAAATGAAAAAAAAAGAAATTAATAATTTAAATTATTTGATGTAACTAATTTAACCTTTGACCTATTAAAAATTACCGTCGGTTACGGGTGAGACAGAGAGGGATAGAAAGGGGGAAGGGAAGACAGAGGAGAGAGGGGGATTTTCAATTTTGTTTAATTTATATTTAGGGATTACTGATAAGAAACGTATGAAATAATATTTAAAATTTATACGAAACGAAATTGAGAAATTAATTGAATAAATTTTTACGGTTACGAGTTGATTACACGATTCGTCGTGTCAGTAGACGGAAAATAAATAATAATAATAATAATAATTGGATTTTTTTTCGTTTTGGCGGGCGCGGAGGAGATTACGAAAATGTGGATGCAAATTTCTTCGTGATTTTTGATTTTAAACGGAAAATTTTTTTTAAAAAAAAAAAAAAAAAATTCTAGAAAAAAACGGAAAAATTTAAATTCGATTCAATACGTTTTCATTAATTTTAAAACTCTCTTTTTGATAAAAAAAATTTTTTTTTTTTTTTATTGCGTTAAATAAATTGGAAACGATTTTTTTTTCTTCTTCTTTTTTTCCTTACCGTAAGTAATTTCCCCCCTTTTTTTTTCTTTTTTTTTTCGTTTTCACATTTAAAAAAGAAAAAAAAGAAAATCTAGTTTTCATTTTGCTGATGAAAATAAATTTAAAATTAGATTTTTTTTCTTTTTTTTTTTTCTTAAATCTTTAAATAGATGATGTGATTTTTCCTGCAATGCGACGACTAAGAAGACATTTTCCTGGAAAAATCTCCGTTTTTTTTTTTATTTTTAAATTTAAATTAACCGATGAAAAAATTCAATAAAAAAAATAAAAATAAATAAAATCAATTAATGTTTACCTTATGTTTACAAAAAAAAAAAAAAACCGTTACTGCGAATAAAATAATATTGATAATAATGACGATAAGTAGTAAATTTAAAAAAAAAAAAAAATTTTTTTTGCTTCTTGAAATGGTATAAATTGAATTATAAACATATATTTTTCTTACGAGAGTTTTCATTATTATTATTATTATTTTTATTACGGTAATAAATAAATTTTTGTCGTTAAATGCAATGGAAAAGTTTTAATTACTACTCCTGAGCTCGGTTTTAACGAAAGTATGAAGTAAGAGAGAGCGCGTTCAGAAATTTCCAGAGAAGGAAATGAAAAAAAATGAAAAAAAAAATTATTTTTGAAAGCGCGTTCAGAAATCTTTAAAAATTAAAACGTACGAGTATGATGTAAAAAAAAAAAATTCATTAAATGAAGAAAATTTCGAGCGGAAGTGACTCTGACGCGGTCGGAAATTCTGAAAAAAATTTTTTTTGTTATTTTTATAATGAAAGGTTGTTAGAATTTTCTCTCTCTATCTCTCCGTTTCATTCTCTCACATTTTTTCGTTCGATAAAAATTTTTTAGTATAAATATCGATGAGTAAATTATAATATTTATATAAATATATGACGTCACAAAAAAATATATTCAAAGTTATTATTATTATCGAACATAAAGAATAAAATTGAAATTGAGAAATCTTTTCAAACATCTCATGATTTTGTTTCCCGAATGAATGAATGAATGACTGAATGAAATCTATTGTTTCGTTATTTTAATTAGTTATTAAATAATTAATTAATTCAAAATTTACAATCATTCATCATGTGGGGGAAAAAATAAATCAATTAAACAAATTGTTTCCGTTTGTGTATATTTGAAAAATTTCCGCCATTTTTTTTTTTTTTGCAAATTTAACCTCTCTCTCTCACTGGGAAAACATAGCTTCTAATTTTTTTATTTCGATAAAGATGTGATGTGATTGATAATGTGATGTTGTACTTCCGGTTTTTCTTTTTTCCTATTAAACTAATTGCGGGAAAATTTTTTATTTAGATTTTCCGCACGAGATGAATTTAAATTTTTTTTTTTTAAACATTCTTCGAATCGATATTGATAATTTTACTCTCTTATCATTTTATCAGACGGATGCTGCGAGAATTTCAAAAATTTTATTATTATTATTATTATTATTATTATTATTATTATTATTATTATTAAAATTAGTAAAAAAAAGATTCGGAATGAAAACAAAAACAGGAAGATAAAAAAACAGTAACAATTAAAAGAAAGGTTAATTTTTGTTAATTAGGGATCAAAAAAATTCTTTTTTTTTGTTTCCCCCTCTTTCTTCCCTCAACCCCCTCGCCTTCCTCTAAACCCCTTCCCCTCTCTCTTTTCCTCCCCTCCTCAAAAAAAAAAACAACAAAGAATAAAATTTCGAAAGGTTTTATGAAAAATAAAAATTTAAGAAAAAGGTATTTAAAAAAAAAAAGAGCAAACAATGGCGTTGTAACATTGTTTCTTTGATTATTATTATTATTATTGTTGCTGTTGTTGTTGTTTTGTATTTTTAATTAGTCTTTAATTAACCTTTGTAAATTTTAATTTTAATTTTTTCTTTCTTTCTTTTTTTTTTTTTATCTTTTGAAATAAAATTCAAAAGATTTTCCAAATTTAATGCTGTTGTTGTTGTTATTGTTGTTATTATATTTGTTAATTTTGTTTTTGTTTTGTTTGTTTGTAGTTACGGTGATATGGTACCAGAAACAATTGCGGGAAAAATTGTCGGTGGAGTTTGTTCATTGAGTGGTGTACTCGTCATTGCTCTTCCTGTACCGGTTATCGTATCAAATTTCAGTCGGATTTATCATCAAAATCAAAGAGCCGACAAACGGAAAGCTCAGAGGGTATGTTTTGCGTTTGTTTGTACAAACAAAAGAACAAACGAGTAAAAATATTATACGAAAATTTTTTTTTTTTGTTTTCTATCGATAGAAAGCAAGACTGGCACGAATTAGAATTGCAAAAGCTTCTTCTGGTGCTGCTTTTGTTACAAAGAAAAAAGCAGCCGAAGCACGTTTGGCAGCTCAAGAATCCGGATTGGACATGGATGAAAATTATAGAGATGAAGATATTTTCGAATTACAGCATCATCATTTGCTCCGTTGTTTAGAAAAGACGACAGTAAGTTTAATTAATTATAATTCATCCCGTAAAAAAAAAAAAGTTTCTCATTTATCGATCCGAATGCAGTTGTTTCTTCCTCGACTTCCTCCCTCACCTCTCCCAATTTGAATTTTCCCCCAACATCATTATTATTATTATCATCGTGAAAAAAATATGTTTTAGAGTAAGATTATAGCTCTGAGGTTTTATTTATTTCGGCAAAAACATTTCAAAAATACATTTTAAATGAGCTTTTTTCCCCCACTCCCTCCCCCTCAAAAAAAAAATATAATTCACGAACGAAATGATGTTAAATTAAGTACGATTATTATTAAAAAGTAACAAACGAAAATAATAATAATAATAAGTCAAAATAAAATAAAGAAAAAGGAAGAAACAAGAAAAAAAAAGAAAAGAAAAAGTTTTAAAATTTTCTTCTCTCTAAATTTATTGTCAAAGTTTGAATTTAATCCACGAAAAAGAGAGAAAATAAATATTAAAAAGAAAAAAAAGTTAATATTAATAATAATAATAATAATAATAATAATAATAATAATAATAATAATAATAATAATAAAGAATTTGATACGCATCATCCTCGAAAATGTTTTTTTTTTTTTTTGGCAGCCATTTTGTTTTTTATTTTTTTATATTTATTATTATTTTGCCGTGCGTTTAAAAAATAATAGGCGACGTATTATTATTATTATTTATCGTAAACAACATTTTAAATAATAATTGTTTTTATTTTTTTTGGTTTCCCCCCCTCTCTCTCTCTCAATTTTAATTTTTATTTAAAATTTATTAATAATAATAATAATAATAATAATATGGCGGCTGATCGTCCAAACGGAAATAATTAATTCTTTTTTGTTTTCTATCCGTTCCACCTTGAGTTATTCATTAATTTCTTTTTTTTTTTTTTATACGGTAGTGATCCGTTTTAAGTGACGTCACATTTTCGTGACGTCAGTTTTTTTTCACCACTCGTTTATTATTATTAAAATATATTTAAGTCGGAATATTTGATACTAGTTCAATTTATCACAATGTCATTTTTCAATTTAAAAAAAAATTTTTTTTTGAATGAAAAGTGATCGATATGAATATAATATGAAAATTTGAATTTAAAAAAAAATTATTATTATTATTAATATTATTATTATTATTAATATTATTATTATTATTAATATTATTATTATTATTATTATTATTAATATTATTATTATTATTAATATTATTATTATTATTATTACTATTATTATTATTAAAAATGCAGAGGGAAACAACCGGTTGATGCTGAGAAAGTAAATCAAAAAATCTCACATCAAGGAAATCTTTCTAAAAGTGAAATATAAAGAGGTTGAAGGAAGATTTAGAAGGTAAAGAAACAAAGGGAGAGAAAGAGAAATAGAAATAAAGAAAAAATGAGAAAGAAAGAAACAAAGAGAAAGATAGATATAAAGAAAAAGAGAGAGAGAAAAAAAATAAAAACTGATGGAAAGAAAAAGGAAAAGTGATATAAAGAGAGAGAAAGTATAACAAAGGGAAAAATAAAAATACAAAAAAAAGAGAAAGAGAGGAAACAAAACAACAAAGGGAGAGATAGAATTAAGAGAGAGAGAGAGAGGGAGGGAAAACAAGCAAAGGATGACGGATAGAAAAAAGAGAAAAGTGACATAGGGAAAGAAAGAGTAAGAGAGAAATAAAGTGATAAATAGAAATGAAGAAAAAGTCAAAAAGAAAGAAACAAAGAGAAAGAGAGAGAGATAAAAACAAAAAAAAAACCGATGAAAAAAGAAAAAAAATAGAAAGAGATAAAAATAAAAAGAAGAAAAAAGAGAAAAAATAGAAGTCAGGAGAAACGGATAGAAAAAATAAAAAAGAGAGAAGGAGGGGAAGGAAAAAAACAAAGAGAAACAGATAAAAAAAATGAAAAGAGACAGAGAAAGAGAGAAGATAAAAAAAAATGACGTAAAAGAAAAAAAAAATAGTGACGTCAACATAATAACGATTCCCAAAATATGGGGGCAAAGTTTAAAAAAAAAAAAAAATCAAAAAGTCCCATAAATGAACGGAAAATTCAATCAAAGGGGGGGGGAGGGAAAAACTTATAAAAAAAAAATTATTATTATTATTATTATTATTATTATTATTTTTAATTATTTAACGTAGTAGCTCTGACGTTTTTCTTTTTTTTTCTTTTTATCATTCGAAAAAGAGAATAAACGTCAGCAAAAAAAAAAAATTTTCCTTTTTTTTTCTCTTCTCTTCACTTATTATTATTATTATTATCATTAAACGCCGTCGTCGTAATTTTTTTATAAAATTTTCCTTTTTTTTTTTTTTTTAAGTTTATTCGTAAAATATTTTTTTAAATATTCCTTACGAACAAAAAAAAATGAAAAAAAGGAAAAAAAGGAAAATTGGTATATTTTCCTTTTTTTTTCCTTGAATCGAGTTAGAGAATGAGGAAAAAGGGAAAATTTTAATCGAAAATTCATGAGAAATGAAAGAATATTTAAAAATTGAATTTTCTCACTTTTTTTTTTCCTTTCTTATTATTAACTAAATATATACCATTTTTCCTTTTAAAAATGTTTTCCTTTTAAATTTTTCCCTTGTCGTTTTTACCATTTTCTTTTCTTTTTTTTTCCTTTTTCTTTCCCGGACTTTTTGGTTTATCGGATTCCGTTACGGAAAAAAAAAATTTTTTTTCTCTTCTTTTTTTCTTTTTCCTTTTTTTCGAGTTGTTTTTTTCGAGCTCAGGTACGAGCAAAAAAAAAAAGGAAAAATCGTAAAAGGAAAACAAAAACTTTGAGGTGGACGGACGAGGTTTTTAAATAACTTTTAAATAAATCCTCTTAAGTAAATCAAAAAAAAAAATAAAAAAGTAGAGAGATTTTATTAGTAATATTATTATTATTATTATTATTGAAAAGTTCACTTATTAAACATGGCTGAAAGAGAGACAGAAAGAGAAAGAAGGAGAGAGAAAGACAGAGAAATACATTTTCAATAACTGAAAACTAAAATTGTTTAATAATAATAATCCAAAAAAAAATTAAAAAGTTTTATTATTATCATTATCATTATCATTATTATTACTCTTCGATGAGTTTTTTTTTTTCTTTTTAAAAACTTTTACTTTAAAAAATTTACGAATTAAAAAAAAAAAAAAAGAAAAAATGGCGGCGGCGGCGGTGGAAATAAAAAAAAATCAACGATTCGAAATTTTATTTTAATATTAATATTTTTTGTTTTATTATTATTATTATTATTATTATTATTATTATTATTATTATTATTGTTATTATTATTATCAAATGTAATCGTTTAAATTTGGGTTGTTTTTATTTTCTTATCAGTTTTCTTTTATCAGTTACGCTCATTTTCCAGCATAAAAATCATTTTTATCGTTTGATTTTGTTTTTACTTTTTTTTTTTTCATGAATTTTTTTTGTTATTTAAACGCCCCCCTCCCATGTTTATTTCAATATTTTGATTTTTTTTTACTTAAACGAAAAAAAAAAATAGTAATAATAATAATAATAATCGAGATCAGGATGACGATGATGAAAAAATTTTAAAAAATTTTCACGATATTTTTAATTATTTCGATAATTTTCAAAAATTTTAGAAGAAATAAGAAAATATAGACGATAAATTAAATAATGATGATGATAATGATGGTGATAATAATAATGATGATGTAAATTCATTAAGGAAAATATAATCAAAATTTAGAATTTTCCAGAAAACAAAAAAAAAAATCACGATCCGAATTTACAAATTTCCGTTAAATTTTTTTATTTTAAATGCGTACATATTAATTTAAAAATAATAAGAAAACGGAAATGACGTCAGAGATTTTCCCCTCCCTCTACAAGTAAAAGAGAAACAAAAATTGGAGGACGGAGAGGCAAAAAAAAAAAAAAAAAGTAAAAAATTACGAGGAAATTTTCACGTGCGTAAAACTAAAATGACAAATAAAAGGAAATGATAAACGAATGACGTCATTGATTGAAGTTAAAAAACTTTGAAGTTCAGACGACGACATTCGACGTTCGATCAAATGAAAAAAAAAAACCGGAAAAACAATAAATAAAAAATAAAAAAATTCGAGAGAAAAGAAAAAAATAAAAAGCTTAAAAGTCGGGAAAATTCGACGAAATCGAAATCGGAAAAAAAAATAAAGAAAATTTTTTTCCTTTTTTTTCTTTTCTATCGGAAAAAAATTAATTTTCGATAGATTATTATTATTATTATTATTAATTTGTCACTTTCAGTGATTTTTTTTTTTTATCACCGTTTACGTGTTTCATAAATTTTTTTTTTTTTTTTATCCTTCATTTAACTTTGGCAAATCTTTTTTTTCATCGTGGAAGTAGAAAGAGAAAGAGAGAGAAAGAGAAAAAAAGAAAATCAATGGAAATAAAGAAAGGAAAAAAAAGACGGAAACGTGAGATGGAAAATTTATTTTTTTAAAAATATTTCGAATTTATTATATCCGTTAATGTATGCGCGTGCGTGTGGGAAAATGCGTTGATACAAATTCGATTGAAATTCACTTCCGGTTTTAATTCGATGCGAAATTTAAAAAAAAAAAAGTGCGTAAGGGAAATCAAGGGGAAATGCGCAAACTCCTCCGAAATTTAAAAAAAAAAAAAAAAGAAAATTTCGCTGGAAAAATAAAATTGTATGACGTCAGCAATCAAGATTTTTCCTATATATATATATTTTTTTATGACGTAATATTCGTGCAAAAAAAAAAAAAAAAACAAGATAAATAAAAATGAAACTCGAAGTAAAAACAAAAAATGGCGGATGGGGAAAAGTGGGAGGAGGGGTTTTAAGGGGAGGGAAAAAAGGAGGGGTGAGGAAAAATAAAATAAAATATTTGGAAAAAATTATCGATTATTTATTTATTTAACGATCGATTTATTTTATTCGACGATTTTACCTAATCGGATGTATCGTAATCGCGATTGATAAGAATTTTAAATAGTTCATTAACCCCTTATCACATATCACGATTTTGATTTCCAGGGAGCGTTTAAACTACTGAGAATAATATAAAATGAAATTTTTTTTTTTTTTTTATTTAATGAGTCGCATCGATTTCGGTCTGCACTTTAATTATTATTATTATTATTATTACTTTGTGTTTTTTTTTTTTGGGAAAGTAGGAAAATTAAAATTTCGCTGGAGAAAAGAACGTAACCGATTCGTATAACATTTTATGCCTGGAAAACGTTTCGTTATTTTTTTGTAGATAGAAAGAAAGAGAGAGGAAAAAAATTGATTTATAACATTTACGTTTAGCTTACGAGTAGACGTATTTTTTTTATAATTTTTTTTTTTTTAACGTAAAATGTGGTTAACCAAATTTTCCTCCCTTCCCCTTCCCCTTCTCCTTTCTCCGTTTCCCGTAAATATCAAAAGCGATTCAATAAAAAACGGTTTTTTTTGAAAAACGTCATTTTTGAAAAAAAAAAAAAAAAAAAAAAAAAATGGAGTCGGGGGGTAAAATAAAAAAAGAATCCAAAATTTTCCATTCTTTGTTTAACGGTTTTTTTTTTCTCTCGGTCGAAAATAATAATAATAATAATAATAATAATAATAATAATAATAATAATAATAGAGAATTTTTGCGGTTACTCGAAAAACGGTTTGAATTTATTTATTTTATTTTTTTTGGGGGGAAGGGAGGGGAGGTTGTAAAATTTTTTTTTTAAAAATTATTAACGTTGCGGTTTTACTTTGCTATTGTTTGTTGTTGTTGTTTGTTTCAGTTTTTTTTTTATTCGCATGTTGTCGCGTTTAAAAAACAAATTAAAAATCCATCCTATGGTTGGTTGGTGAAATTTTACTTCCCTTCTCTCTCTTTCCCTCCTTTCCCCCCTCACCCCCTCGCGTTTAGTATTTAACGGAAAATTTTATTCTTTCAGGATCGAGAATTTGTCGAAATGGAAGTACCGTATAACGGACAACCTAAACGTCCAGGTTCACCTTCACCATTGCTTAGTCCGGCACATTCGGCGATTAGTCATAGAGGATGGTTGGCAAATTGTTGCGGAAGGTGCTGCGGTCAACGATATCAGGTACAATGTTGTCGTTTTTAACTTTTTTTTTTCTATCTCTTTTGTTTTTATCATTTTTTTTTGTTATCATTAATTTATATAAATACGAGCTAACACTAAATCTAATCTCAATTTGCTGTCGTTTAGAAATTATCATATGATCGTGGTGGTCGTGAATATTTTTTTTAAAAATTTGTTTTGATATCGTTTTCTTAGTCTACATCAGGTTCGTTATTTAAATGTTT